GCGAGGGGCTTGCCAACATAGGCGGGGGGAGACGCGTGCAAACGTCGCCATTTGGGGCGATCGGCGGAGCTCGTTATGGGGCTACGGGTGGTGTGAGAGGTCGCCGCAGTGGTGGAGGGAGAGGCATGCAAACGGTTCCAAAAGAACCTTCGGCGGAGCTCGCTATGGAGCCACGAACCGTGTGAGGGGGCGTAGTAAGACGCGTGTGAACGTCGCCACCAGGGCCTGAGGCGGAGCTCCCGATGGGGCCACGAAGCGTGTGAGGGGTGTGCCGAAATGGGCTGGAAACCGCATGCAAACGTAGCTGTTGGGGCCTTCCGTGGAGCTCCCTGTGCGGCCGCGAAACGCGTGAGTGGTGTGCCGACATGAGCGGGGAACCGCATGCGAACGCAGCCGCTGGGGCTTTCGGTGGGAACCCCGTATGGGGCCACAAAATGTATCAAGAATGAGCCGAAACGGGCGGGGAACCGACCGACTGCGAACGCAGCCGCTTGGGCCTTCGGTGGAGCTACCTTTGAGGCCACGAAGCGTGTGAGGGGCGTGCCGACATGGGCTGTGGCCCACATGCGAACTTAACCGCTGGGCCCTTCGGTGGAGCTCCCTATGAGGTCGCGAAACGGGTGAGAGGCGTGCCGAAATGGGTGGGGAACCACATGCGAACGCAGCCGCTGGGGCTTTCGGTGGGAACCCCGTATGGGGCCACAAAATGTATCAGGAATGAGCCGAAACGGGCGGGGAACCGACCGACTGCGAACGCAGCCGCTTGGGCCTTCGGTGGAGCTACATTTGAGGCCACGAAACGTGTGAGGGGCGTGCCGACATGGGCTGTGGCCCACATGCGAACTTAACCGCTGGGCCCTTCGGTGGAGCTCCCTATGAGGTCGCGAAGCGGGTGAGAGGTGTGCCGAAATGGGCGGGGAACCACATGCGAACGCAGCCGCTGGGTCTTTCGGATGAGCTCCTTATGGGGCCGCGGAATGTGTGAGGGGTGTGCCGAAATGGGCGGGGAACCGCAAGCGAACTTTGCCGCTGGGGCCTTCGGAGGAGCTCCAAATGGGGCCACGAAACGTGCGAAAGGTATGCCGATATGGGCGGGGAACCGCATGCGAACCGGTCCGCGAAACGTTTGAGAGGTGTGCCGAAATGAGCGGGGAAACGCATGCAAACGCAGCCGCTGCGGCCTTCGGTGGAGCTCCCTATGGGGCCGCGGAACGTGTGAGGGGTGTGCCGACATGTGACATGAGCGGGGAACCGCATGCGAACTTTGCCACTGGGACCTTCGGTGGACCTCCTTGCCGGGTCACAAAATGTATGAAGAGTGTGCCGACATGGGCGGGAAACCGCATGCGAACGCAGCCGCTTGGACCCTCGGTGGAGATTCCTATGAGACCACGGAATGTGCGAGGGGCGTGCCTACATGGGCTGTGAACCACATGCGAACTTAACCGCTGGGGCCTTCGGTGGAGCTCCCTACGGGGCCGCGAAACGGGTGAGAGGTGTGCCGAAATGGGTGGTGAACCAGATGCGAACTTTGTCACTGGAGCATTCGGTGGAGCTCCCTCTGGGGCCGCGAAACGTGCGAGGGGTCTGCCAAAAATGGGCGGGGAATCGCATGCGAACTTTGCCACTGGGGTCTTCGCGGAGCTTCCTATGGGGCCACGACGCGTTTGAGGGGTGTGCCAAACAGGCTGACATGCGGAGGGCAAAGGCAGGGAGGGGTGGAGGGAGGAGGGGGAGGAGGATGGAAGGAGGGAAGGAGACGCGGGGATTCCTTCGTCGAAACGAGGACCCGACACCACAGGATGGTCAGGAAAAGCCACAAAGGGGGGCACCGACAGGCTTGGCACAGCATGCAACTGGAGGACATGCAAAGGAGTGACCATGTGAGCATGAACAACCAAGGGAGCAAAGTCGGAGAACTAAACAAAGGAACCGCACAACAGATGCGCTTCTCTAGCTTGGGCGGACTGTTTACGGAAGTTTCGGGAAGAAAGGAACTCGCGCGCACGACAACGCCAACGCAGGGCACCGAGGGCATGCGCGTCGTGACTGAGCGACCCTGGACAGGTGCACGAAGATGCGCGAACCCTCGTTAGGCGCGCGGGGCCCCGTACAGTGTCACAGGTCACATCAATGGTGGGATGCAGCGCAACCGCCCCGGGGCAACAGAGGCAGGTCCCAGACGATTGCAATCGCGAAACCGGGTAAGAATCGAGAAGTGACACTGGAGTGCATGACTTCATACACGGGGCGGGCACCTCAGCACGTTTACATCGCCTTGCTTGTTTTACGGATCGAAACTGTAAATCATCTGCTGGCACGCTTCCTCTATCCGATAAGGAAGGCCCAGTCAACTCGCATGCTTCGAATGCAAGCGACGTTCTGACGTATATCCAAAAGAAACTGAAACAGCGCCTTCACGGAGGTGACTGAGCCGAATTCGCGATGTAGACTGAATTCTCGAAGACGCCATGTATGTGACACATAAATGGATTGAAAAATGAGTTCGCAGGCTTTCTCGTGCAAGCCCGATTAACTACAGAGGAAGCCGTTGAACAACCAATGGTGTTAGCAAAAGCAAGATGCAAACCACTGAAATACGCTCAGAACTATGAAGATGCCCCGCGCTCCAATGATCGCCTCTGAGCCTTTCTCGCTTGGATCGGTGCGTATGAGAAGTGATGTGGACATTTCTATACATACATGCATTCATGCATACATAAACATATAATCCTACATACATACATACATACATACAGACAGACAGACAAACAGACAGACAGACAGACAGACAGACATACAGGCATACATACAGACATACAGACATACAGACATACATACAGACATACAGTCATACAAACATACATACATACAACAGACATACAGACATACAGGCATACAGACACACAGACACACAGACAGACAGACAGACATGCACACTTGCACATACCCACATGTAGGTGTGTGTACCCATATCTAAGTATAAATGTATCCCCAGCTCCCTCCGCCCTCTATCGCACTATCTGTCGCTTGTTCGCGCTCGCTCTCTCTTTCTCTTCCTCTCTCTCTCTCTCCCTCTCTAGCTATCTATATATATATACATACATATATATGTGTGTATCCCTCTCGTTTTCTCTTTGTGTGTTCTCTCTTGGTATCTCGCTCTCTGTCTCTCTCGGACTATCTCTCTCTCTCTCCCTCTCTCTCTCTCGTTCCCTATCTCTCACACTGTATCTCTCTCTTCCTCTCTGTCTCTCTCTCCCTCTGTCTGTGCATATGTATATGTATAGTATGTTGACCTCTCTATGTATGTATGTATGTATGTACGTATGTATGTATGTATGTAGGTATGTAGGTAGGTAGGTAGGTAGGTATGTATGTATGTATGTATCGTTCTCTTCATATGAGTGCTTATTCACGTGAGCCCCAAACAGTGTGGTATTGTACATTGGACGACCCATGGATGTGGTACAACATCTGTGGCGCATCCTACGTGGAGCAACTGATGAGTTGCAGGCGGTGCAGCGCAACATATGTGGCATAAGCTGCGAAGCAACATCTAATTCGTACATTCGGTGTGGCAAAACCAATGACGATGAACTCGAGGTCGTCCATGACAGTTCCTGCTGTAAGTATGCTCTCCCTTCATCCGGCCAGCAACCAACATTTTCCCCACTCCAGTTGAGCAGGGACCGACCGTCCCGGCATTCCTATAGGCCTACCACGACATGTTCTCAGAACCTGGAAGTGTTCCAAGAACAAAAGCAGCGTTCTTAGAACATGAGCCCGATATGGTAAGACAAAACAGTTCCAGCCAGAAGTGCTCTAAGAACATTTTGCTGAAACCATAAAAACGGTTCTTAGAATATTAGATGGTAGGCCTACAGTCGGGGCGTTGACCTGAGGAACCCTAAATAAGGAACGAGGCCCCTTTTTTCCATAAGTTAAACTTCGATTTCCGATCGAAAACATAAGGAAAACCTGAGGCAAGCTGTGAAACACTTAAGGAACGCGGAGCCCCTCCCCAACGAAAAGGGTTCTTTCTTCAGGGCCCCGACTGTACTAGGCGAGCCAGGACGCCCTGCCACTGCTTGATCCAAGCTGCACCGCGTCCGTGCACGTGCGCACTGCTCTGTGCTCTCGGCGCCTCCACCCCCGTGTGCCCCACCGCGAACCCGTGCCTGCGCAGCGACCCCTCTGCCAGCGCCCGAAATCCACCCGCTACACCCTGCGCGAAGGAGAATCGGGGGGAACGACAGGGGGGCAAAGGGCAGGGCAGAGAATCAGCTCACGTGGCTGCTTTCCCTGGCGCCTCCCGGCGCCGGGAGGCGCCCGTGCATCGAGGAGTGGGCCCGGCGGCGGGGCCGGAACCAGATGCACGCAGCAGATGTCGTCATGCCCCCTTTCCCTATCCCCCCGTCGTCCGGCCCGAAAGAGGGCGAGGACGAGCTGGAGTTCAGTCGGGCCTGTCCCTCTACAGGGGGGGAATTCAAAAATAATCAAAAAAAGAGTCTGGGGACCATTTTTGGAATAACTGTTGCCCATTTTTGAACATTCGAATCTGATTTGACCACTTTTGGAATCATGTTTCGGGTATTTGGGAATATTGTTTGACTTGTTTCTAATTTTTTTTCGACAATCCCCCTGTAGGGGGACACGCCCGACTGACAGCCGGAAGCAGAAGGCCAGGGGGAGCAGGCGCGGAGGGAGCCCAGGTGCCCCCGGGCCTCCGCGCCCCCCGGCGCCCGCCCGAGGCCCCCAGCGGCAGTCCGCGCCGCGCTCCGCCCGGGCAGGTCGGCTACGCTGAGGTCGGGCCTGTCCCCCTGCAGGGAATTCTGGACGAAAAATAAGCAATACCCCGAGAATGCTCCCAAATGGCCAACAAAAACATACGGCAGGTTCGTGTCGTGCCGACCCCAGCGTTGGTTTTTGACACCGCAGGGATCGTTCAACCTTGAACGATCGGCCGCTGCCGCAACGTCCGATCGTTCAACATCGATCGATTCTGGGTCGCTGGCGGCGTTCAACCTTGAACGCCTGCGCTGGGGTCGCCGCTGGTCGACACGACGCAAACCTACCGTACTCAAACAATAATCCCCGCACTAGGTTTTAAAAACCATGTTTGGATATCCCCCCTGCAGAGGGGCAAGCCCGACCTAAGGCTACGCGACTCGTCCCTCCCGTTGCCGCCGTGCCGCTGCTGCAGCCCCTGCTGCCACCACAGAGGAGACGAGGACGCTCACGAGGGGGCGACGACAGCGACGCCGCCGACGGCGGCAACCCCGACGTGAAAAGCACGACGACGACGACGACGACGACGACGACGACGACAACGCCGACGACGCCGACGACGGCGACGACGACCTCGGTGCCGCCACCGACGACGCCACGACGACGACAGTCGGGGTGGTGCGGCAGGGCGGGGCGGTGCCTGGTCGCCGCGACGGCGAGGCGAAGGAGGGCCGCGGGCGGGAGCGTCTGGGGGGCCCCATCGCTGCGCGCGGGACGGAGGGGGAGGAGGAGGAGGAGGAGGAGGAGGAGGAGGAGGAGGAGGAGGAGGAGGAGGAGGAGGAGGAGGAGGAGGGGGAGGAGGAGGGGGAGGAGGAGGAGGAGGAGGAGGAGGAGGCGGAGAACGAGGAGGAGGAGAAGGAGGAATAGGAAGAGGAGAGGGTAATACTGGCAGGGCCTGCGGGACCTGCGGGACCTGGGGGAGCACTGTGGGACCTCTGAGACATGCGACACCTCTGGGACCTCTGGACCTGCGGGACCTGTCAGACCTGTGAACCCTGCGGGTCCTGCGAGACATGCGACACATGTGGGACCTTTGTGGGACTTGTGGAACCTGTCAGACCAGTGGTGCATGTGGGACCTATGGGACGAGCTGCGGCACTTCTGGGACCTGTAGGACCTCTGGGACCTCTGGGACCTGTGGGTCCCTGCGAGACCTGCGACACCTGCGGAATCCAGAAAAGTGGCCCACGCTGGGGCTGGAGCGCCATCCTGAACGGCGGGAGCACGGCGCCGATCCGAAACTGAGGCCCACACTGCAGCGAGAGCATCGTTTTGAAAAACTGTAGACAATCATATTGTAAAGCAAAAGCCATACGAAAAGCCAATTCGCGCAACTCCTGTGCGAAAAATACATGACGCGGACGGGGGGCAAACACTCTCACCACTTCTCCAGGGAAGAGAGCAAGAGTAGTGTTCATGTTGTGTAGTTGTGGAGGGGGGAGGAGGGAAGGGAGGGAGAGGAGGAGGAGGAGGAGGAGGAGGAGGAGGAGGAGGAGAAGGAGAAGGAAGAGGAGGAGAGGGAGGAGGAGGAGGAGAAGGAGGAGGAAGGAGGAGGAGGAGGAGGAGGAGGGGAAGGAGGAGGAGGAGGAGGAGGAGGACGACGAGGAGGAGGGCGAGGAGGAGAGAGAGAGAGAGAGAGAAGAGAACACTCGGGGACCGAGGATCGAATCTTCGCCGGGAGCCACTGTGCATCCCTTGCGACTCCAGTGCCAGCTCCAGGGACCTGTCCCGCTGCCTCGGGAGACCTCCAGAGGGGGACCCCGGGCGACGGCGCCGGAAGGGCCCCGCCATCCCCCGCGGGATGGGGGGGGTCCTCCGAAGGCCGCGAGGGGGCGATTGCTTCCCCTCTCGGACCTCCCAAGCCGTGCGGGGACCGCCAGATGCATCTGGGGGACCTCTGGAATCCATAAGGAGCCCACAAAGGACGTACGCGCCCAGCTATGTACATGAACACGGCCCCTCGGTTCGCGAGACCGGCCGCGTGATACGAACACTTGTGCGATGCGTGGTCTCGAAACCAGCGTGGATTCATGTACATGTACGTCCTTCTTTCGCTCCTGATGGAAAGGATGTCCCGAGCATTCGGCGTCCAGAGCGCGTCTGTTTCGGACCCTCGGAGGGCCGAGAGACTCTCTGGCACGAGGCGGGTGCCCTCGGAGGGCCGAGAGCAGTGGGGCGCCCTGGTTGGAAGAGCCAAGGCGTCGGATACCTCGGGGGAGGAGGGAGGAATTCGTCGATGGGGCGTCCTGCGCAGGGAAGGAGGGCGAACGGAGTCGTGAGAGGAGGAGGAGGATGAGGAGGAGGAGGAGGAGGAGGAGGAGTGAAGGAGAGAGGAGAGAGGAGAGAGGTGGAGGAGGAGGAGGAGGAGGAGGAGGAAGAGGAGGAGAAGGAGGAGAGCGGAGAGGAGAGATGAGAGAGGAGAGAGGTGGAGGAGGAGGAGCACGAGGGACGAGGAGCCGCAGCAGCGGAGGGATTGATCGGACACGCCGAGAGCAAGTCAGCAACACACTTGACCAGCAACTCGCGCACAACTGCTTGCAAATCAGGGCACGCTGCACTGAGGCTATCTGACTTGGCCCTTCTCATCCCGAGTGTGTCTTAGAAGTGGCCCCCTCAAGAAAGGGAGCCAGCTCCAAGAGGGGAGCAGTAGGAAGAGGAGGAGGAGGAGGAGGAGGAGAAGGAAGGCGCATCCATCTGCGGCGGATCAACGGGAGGATCGCTGGCTCCGGGGCTTGGGACCTAGAACGCCAAACAGCCCCCTGCGGACCCTCTAGAACCCCCGACTCTTCAACTACCTAGAACCACCTCTTCAACCTCCGTCATCCTCCTCCTTCCCTTCCTCACCTCTTCTCACCCCCCTCCTCGTCCTCCTCCTTTCTGCCGTTCGGCTCGGTTCGGCTCCCCGCGGCAGCACCACACACGCCACCGTCGGCCAAGGGGTGCGCTGCGTTCGAGTAGACGTCAGCAGCCCGCCAGCGGGAGGAGCGAACACCCTCCAAGTAAAGCCGACGGTGCGATACAGTGCAGCATCGCAGGAGATCGTGACTGGAACCCTAAACTGGGGAAACCAACAGGTACCGATACCGCTACTCCATCAGCCCCGCGACTCCAACTAAGGAGCCATGGGGGCCCATCCGGAAGGATAAAACTTCTGGGGCGCGCCCCGAAACCCAGGGGGTCCGGTTTCCGCGGGGGAGAAAAACAAATCCCTGTCGAGGGGTTCGAGCACGGGGGTTACACCTGCCTCAAATTCTGGAAGAAGAATGGATTCTCAGCCGCGGGGGTGCCCGCGCGAGGGGTCCCACCCCCCTCAGCGCAACCAGAGGAGGAAAGGCGTGAGAGCCCAGATTGTAAGTGCAATGCAGCAACACTCTAATAGTGGTTGCACTGGGGAGCCGTGCTAGAAATAGGGGATTCGTACTAAGGAGTTGTACTAATACTCGGGAATTGTGCTAGGGACTTGTACTAAGGAGTTGTACTAGGAAGTTGTACGACTTCTGCTTGGGCTAGGGAATTTTACTAGGAAGTTTCATTGGGGGGGTGTACTAATCCATTATACCACTAGGTTGTACTACGGAGTTGAATTATAACTTGTGTTATTACTAGGGAGAGGTACCTGGGAGTTGTACTAGGGACTTGTACTAGCGAGTTGTACTAGCACTCCGGAATTGCATCAAAGAGTTCCACTAGTACCATTTGTGCTAGAGTTGATACCAGTTGCACTCTAATACTTGCACGGCAGGACAGCGTGCTCTCTAGGAGCAACTGCGCGCTAATATATGATAGTACCAGTCGTACGCAAGTGCGAGTTGAAAGGTAGTCGGAGAGGTTCAGGGGTTCCAATGGCAACTCGCGCGCGGAAGAAAAATATCCATGCACCGCCAGGGGTCCTGGGTTTAACGGGTCGCCGCGAAGGTTGACCCCCCGCGGAAAGAAGAAAAGAAATCCGGCCAGGGGGGTGGGGGGTTCAGGCATAAGTCGCGGGGCTGATGCTACTCTCCAGACCTCTCCCAGGGTGCGTTCTGACCAGAGTTTCGAGGCGCATCCAGCGGTGGCGACGAGGGCCTCCCAGGAGGCCCGAAAAGGGGAGAACGAGCAAAGTGTAGCGGTATGGACAAACTGTCCTCCTCTGATAGGCCGCGTCTTCCGCGGCATTTCCCCAGCCAGTTCGATCCGCGAGGACCCCGTGTCCAGAGAGAGCGGGCGCGAAAACGCCTGGCGCGAGCACAAAAATGCGACGCTCGCATCGCCAGGGAAAAGCAGCAGCAGCAGCAGCACTGCCCCGCGGCGCCGACAGCTGACCCGGGCGCTCCGCCAGGGACTGCCCGCAGGCCGCCAGGTCGGGGTCCTGCCGCGGGCTGGGACAAATCGTCCCCTGTCGCTCCTCTTCATCCGCCACCGTGCTAGAGGCACCAGGTTGAGCGCCTGGAATGATCCTCGGCGCCGAGCGCACTGGACCCCGACCTGCCAGGAGGGCCAGGAACAAAAAGAGCATGACCTTTAGATGTACCAGACAAGGCGTGGAGCGAACCAGATTGCCAACACTTCTGGCCTCGACCCACCCTGTCTGACCCAATGAGTCCCCTACCAGCCCTTTTTTCGCCACGCCAGAGCATGCTTGGGTTCGACGCGTCAGTGTCTCACGTGCATATATCTATATCTCTGACTGCGTTCGCGCAATGCCTCCTCATCCACGGACCATTGATTTTCAATACAGATATCTATATATGTCGGCGGTGCCCGGTGCGGAGCGACCCCCCCCCCCCAGTAATCTCTCCTGGGGGGGTTCGAGCTGGCGCCATTCCCGGTGCGAGCCTGCACGAAACCCCCCGGTAAACACGACCTCCTCTGGTAGGCTGCACGAAACCCCCCGGTAAGGACGCAACCCCTCCGTAAGCGGCGCGCTCCCAGCACGCGCGAAACCCAGCCCCGACGCGCGAATCTTACCAGGACGGGCCGGAACACGGCGGCGGCATTGCATCCCAGGGCCGTGCCGGAACACGGCGGCACTGTTCTTCTCTACGCGGCCGTGCCGTCGACCCCCCACAGCGGCTCTCGGGATTTGCGCCGCAGCCTCTCGTATTGTGACCACGAGCCACAATACGAGAGGCTGCGGCGGAACAAAGGCGAGCAGACGCGAATAGAGAACACAAGGCGAGCACACGCCACACTTCGACAGGGAGCCACCCTTCCCAACCGCCCCCCTGCCCCCCCCCCAACCCACCCCCCACTCCCACCCCCCCACTCCCACAGGGGGGGGGGGAGCCCAGGTAGACGCAGTGCGGCCTGCACGAACCCCCCCGGTAAAGCGGCAAGGGGGGGGTGTTCTAAGCCGCTGGCGGCACCCGGTGCGGGCTGCACGAAACCCCCCGGTAGTGCACGAAACCCCCCGGTAGTGCTGGGGGGGGGGGGTTCGTGCCACGGCGCACCGCCGACATATATGTATATATATATATATATATATAAATATAAATATAAATATATATGGCAAAGCACCCCACGAGAGGCCCACAAGACGAGCCGAGAGGGCCCCAAGACGGCGCCGTAGACCTGCAAGACGGCCCTCAGGCACCCAAAGAGGGATCCACGACATCCCAGAGATGGCCCCAAGGCGGCCTCCGAAGGAAAAGAGGCCCCTCAGAGGTCCCGTGAGGCCACCTATAGGCCCCAGGAGGTCCCCAAGAGGCCCCAGGAGGCCACAAAGAGACCCCTCAGATGCCCCCAAAACGCTCCCAGGAAGCCACCAGGAGGCCCCAAAAGAGCATCAAGAGGCCTCCTCCTCTTCCTGCTGCTCCTCCTCCTCCCCCTCCTCCTCCTCCTCCTCTTCCTCCTCCTCCTCCTAGAGAGAGAGAGAGAGAGAGAGAGAGAGAGAGAGGAAAAGAAAAAAACAACACACATAAAGACACACACATATGTATGTATATATATATATATATATATGTGGATGTGTGAATACATATATATAGAGAGAGAGAGAGACAAGAGAGAGAGAGAGAGAGCACAAAAAGAGCTAGAGAGAGGGAGAGAGAGAGAGAGAGAGAACAAACAAAGAGTTAGAGAGAGGGAGAGAGAGGAGAGAGAGAGCGAGAGAGAGAGAGAGCGAGAGAGGGAAGGTTAGAGGCACAGTGGGAGGGAGAAGATGGTGGACGGAAAGAGGAGAAGGAGGGAGCCGGACGGACGAAGATAGGAGGGGGGGAGCAGAAGTAGGAGGATCAGCAGCGGCAGCAGCATCAGCAGGAGCAGCAACAGCAGGAAGGCTGACCGAGCAGGGTGCACCAAAGAGCAAACAGGACCAGGAGGAACTCATTCTCCACTTGCTCGGCTTTCTCCTCCTCCTCCTCCTCCTCCGCCTCCTCCTCTTGGAAGAGGAAAGAAAGGACCAAGGCAAAGGACCAAGGCGACGCCGACGACCTCCGCCAGGGCCCAGGACATTTCCCCTACCGACCGTGCAGAATACCTGGATCCTCGAACCCCGACGGCGACGACGACGAAGACGACGACGACGGCGACGGTGACAGCGACGACGACGACGGCGGCGGCGACGACGGCGGCGGCGACGACGACGGCGGCAACGACGACCTCGGCGACGACGGCGACAACGACAGAGACGACGACCACGACGGAGACGACGGCGACGACAGAGACGACGACGACGGCGACGACGGCGACGACCACGGCGACGACGACGACGACGACGACGACGGCGACGGTGACAGCGGCCAGCGGCAGCGGCGAGCGCGCGACGAGCGCCCGACAAGTGTCAGGTCGGGCATTTCCCCCTACAGGCGCATTCTGGAAGAAATGCTCTGACAAGGAAAAACTAAGCACGAGTTTGTTGTCCAAAAAAGAACGAACAATGTCCTCACCAGACTATATTCTTAGAACAAGCAATGTCCTCAACAAAAAGAACGAGCAATGTCCTCAAAAAAGAACGAACAAGCAATGTCCTGAAAAAACATGTCCTCAACAAAACAAGCAATGTCCTTGTCATTCAAAAAAGAACAAGCAATGTCCTCAAAAAAGAACGAACAATGTCCTCACCAGGCTATACTCTTACTGCTCTTGAGTAGTCCTCCTGCAGAGAACCTTGCCCGCCTTACTAGGGCGCAAACAAACCTACCTCGCTTTTGACCACCCTCGCTTCCAAGAGATACCAAGCGACGCCAAACTACGGCCTGCGCTGGTCAGGCCGCTTGACGAGGAGGCGCGTGGTATGACTTGGTTTGCCTGGAAGCGAAAGCGGGGTAGGTAATTCACGCTCCGACTTACGGCAAGTGCTCGGCAGAGCCTGGCCTGCAGCAGCGGCGGCGGCCGCCGCCGTCCTCCGTCTCCCGCTCGCCGAGGCCGGCCACCGCGGAGGCGAACATGGGGAAGGACGCCTGCTGCTCGAGTAAGGCATCGGCTACAGCATCGATTTTTGCTCTGAAATCGATTTCCTCGCGGAGTCCACCAAAAAAGCATGCAGAGCGTTCGTAGGTCTAGGAACATCCTGCGTTTGTGTTAGCTGACTCGACGAGATAACCAAGTCTGCAGTACATCAATTTCGTAATCGATCCCATACTCGAGCTGTAGAGGGCCAAAACCTGTATAGACAGAACTTCTCGGATCGGCGCCGGACCCCCCCTCACGGGTGCGAGGAGAGCGCGGGGGCGGCGCCGGAGGCGCCGCCAGTGGGACCCAGGGTCGATCCAACAAATCCGCGCGGGCCTCCGACAAAAATGAGTGTGCAGCACGTGTTTGTGACTCGATGCTACACATCTGAAGGGGCCCTGGGACACACAAATGAATACACACAAATAAAAGGATTCCCCATATCTTCCTATATGTTCTAGGTTTTTGTCTTCCCCCCCCTTCCCATATTTTCTTATATTTTCCTAGGGATCGACGATTAATTGTGTCTGTGTGTTTCTTTCCCTCCTGAAGCATGTGTTTGTGACTCGATGCTGCACATCGTTAGGAGCAAGCGGGTCGAGCAATTAGGCAGGAAGCCGTGGAGAGTAGCTGGGGTTCCCGCCCGCCCCGCTCTTGAAATAAAAAGGCGACTCGACGTAGATTGGAATCTGGAAACCCCAAACAATACAGACCTTCAGCAGCCGATGGACAAGATGCTCGCCGCTGGAGGCTCGGGCTTTTCTGGGGGTGGCGGGGGGCCTGTGGTCCTTTTCCCGGCCCTGCGAGGCCCCACGCCTCATGGAGGCCCGTGGGGACCTTCCGGGGACTCGAGACCAGAGGCCTCTGGAGACAACTAGGGTCGTTGTCGTCATCACCATCGACGCAGCCGCTGGCGTCGCCGTCGCTCTGCTGCTCATTATCCTTCTCATCTGTCCTCCTCCCTCCTGGCTTCCTCGCTGGCTCCACAAAGGCGGCAGATTGAAGACCGTGCCTGGGCATGACTTCATGCAAAGGTCATCTGGGGAAGTCATCAGGGCGGCAAGCTGTCCTCCTTCTCCTCCCAAGACGAAGAAGGGAGGGTGTGGATGAGCAGCGTGCAGAGGACATCGAAAGTGAGCTCCTCGATGGGGCAGAGCAACCGAGTGAAGGAGGCGTGGATACGGCTAGGGCTGTGCACACGCGGTCCCCAGAGGCAGTCCAGGTTGGCCTCGCCAGGCCCCGCCCCAAGGGTTCCCCAGCACGCCTCGGGGCGCCCCAGGGGCACCACCCACAGCGGTGCGGCGAGCGCTCGAGGCCGCATTGGGCCACCCTGGGGAGTCTGCTGAAGCCAGCCTGCACTGCCTCTGGGGGCCGCCTGTGCGCAAGCCTGGGCCCTGCCAAGACATCCTCCTCGTGCTGCCCGGTCTTCACTGGTCACCATCTTGGACGCCGTGGTTAGAGACCTGCTAGATGGGGTCCGAGTAGATGGTGTCGGAGGATGGCGCCGCATCGCCGATACATCGGCGATGATGTATCGGCGATGCCGCCGATGTATCGGCGATGGACCAGCGATGCATCGTCGACGTGGGCGATGCATCGGCGACGTGGACGTGAAGCAAGTCGGGCTCCACATCGAGCCGATTCGGAAGCCCAGAGTGGTGACCTCCGCGCCAGCCCACCCGATCGGGGGCGCGCAATCCATGGATTGGCGATCCGTGGAGTTGGCGCGCGGCCGCCGAATCCATGGATCGGCAGAGGTACCCTCCCCAAAATGCGGCCGGTGGCGCCTCACTCGGCGGCGGCACTCCGCGACTTCCCATGGAAACGGGACCCGTCGCTAATCCACGCCCCGTTGATCCATGTTTGCGATCGCCTGACCCTCCTCCTCCTCCCCTCCTCCTCCTCCTCCTCCTCCTCCTCCTCCTCCTCCTCCTCCTCCCCTCCTCCTCCTCCTCCTCCTCCTCCTCCTCCCCTCCTCCTCCTCCTCCTCCTCCTCCTCCCCTCCTCCTCCTCCTCCTCCTCCTCCCTCCTCCTCCTCCTCCTCTTTCCTCCTCCTTCTCCTCCTCCTCCTCCTCCTCCTCCTCCTCCTCCTCCTCCTCCTCCTCCTCCTCCTCCTCCTCCTCCTCCTCCTCCTCCTCCTCCTCCTCCTCCTCCTCCTCCTCCTCCTCCTCCTCCTCCCTCCTCCTCCTCCTCCTCCTCCTCCTCCTCCTCCTCCTCCTCCTCTCCTCCTCCTCCTCCTCCTCCTCCTCGCCTCCTCCCCCTCCTCCCCCCCTCCTCCTCCTCCTCCTCCTCCTCCTCCTCCTCCTCCTCCTCCTCCTCCTCCTCCTCCTCTCCTCTCCTCCTCCTCCTCTCCTCCTCCTCCTCCTCCTTCTTTTCCTCCTCCTCTTTCCTCCCTCCCTTCCTCCTCCTCCGCCTCTCTCCTCCTCCTCCCCCTCCTCCTCCCTCCTCCTCCTCCTCCTCCTCCCCTCCTCCTCCTCCTCCTCCTCCTCCTCCTCCTCCTCCTCCTCCTCCTCCTCCGCCTCTCTGCCTCCTCCTCCTCCTCCTCCTCCTCCTCCTCCTCCTCCTCCTCCTCCTCCTCCTCCTCCTCCTCCTCCTCCTCCTCCTCCTCCTCCTCCTCCTCCTCCTCCTCCTCCTCCTCCTCGGTTACTCGGTTACTCGGTGGGTGGTGTACCGTACAAGCACAGTACACTCACAAAGGAATAAAAATTACGCAGGTCTCCTCACCTCCCTGAGTTCACGGCCTCGGGGTGGGAGAGCTACGGAATTAGTAATGGACAGGTCGGTTCCTGGCAGGATCCTCCGTTTGAGTTTCCTACTCTCGGACGAAGCCTTCCCGTCGCATGGCCCACGTAGCTTGGGGCCCGCCTTGCACGTGGTGAATGCACCACACCTTAAGCAGTGCACTACGGGCAGCCCAGAGCTCTCGACCCAAGCCACGTGGAGGTTGTGGTGATTCCTCGGACCGTTCAGAAAGGCAGCAAGAGACGGGTTCAGACCATTGCAATCCCGACTTAAGACTACCTTGCGGCCCAAATATCTAAAGCAGAGGTTACATCTCCTCTTCCCTTCATGGAACACTGGCTCATGGGGGGTGTGTGGCTTGGGAGTGGCCTTGGGACCCAACCGCGTCCTCCCCAGCTCACCCAGCTCCCCGAAGGTAGGCCACTCCGCAAGCACTTTACCCATTCCGTGAATTAGGGTAGTGTACAGTTTGGGAATGGCCGTGCACTCGTCTAAAACGCTATTGCTGAACGCATGTGCGCGGGCTGCGAGCCCTGCATGATGGTCAGCGAGCTTGTTCCCTCGCACGAAAAAGACTTGGTCGCTTGCAACATCCTCCTCAGTTCTGTGGGCCTTGACCTTGGTTAGGCGGGGCGGGTCCCCAGGGAGCCAACGAGCCACTTCCCGCCAAACGTGGGCCATCGGGTTGGCCCCTGACAGAGCCCAGTGGTGGGCCCTCACAGCTTTGAGGAGAGTCGCATAGTCTACAAAAATCTCACCCGACTGGCACTGATCAGCCGAGCATGTGGTGGCAAGCATGATGGCACAGTGCTCTGCAGACCCGCTGGTCTGCTCCATCGTACCTGGGACAGGGGACCTTATGCCTCTGACCAGTTCGCCGTCTTCGTTCACTTGTATGACTGCACACCCGGCTCTGGAACAGGGCTTGAGCTGGGGAAACAAGCACGAGCCATCGGTAAACAGCTGAGCCCCTGGTGGGAATTCAAACGGCAGAATCTCCTCACCTCCAGGGCCAAAAAATTTTAAATCTTGAACCCAGTCCTGGGCAGGGGGCTCCATGGAAAGGTCGGGCCTGGCAACCCAGGCACGGCTAAAAAGGAGAGAACCTGGGCCAGCTTCCAGGGCTTGTTGAATTAGGGCCTCGGGGAAAACCTCGCTTCGGACAGCTGACGCACGCGGGCACGGGCAGGACCAAATGCGGTGCCACGCAGAGTCGAGCATGCCACATCTGTTACACACTGAGTTATATTTGAAACCCCACCTCGCGAGGGCCTCGCCCGTTGGGAGGGTTCCACAAAAAAGCTGCTTCACTCTAAGCTTTTCTACGAGCGTGAGCCCAAGCTTGGTGGAGTTCATCTTCTGCTTGATGAGTTCCCACCACAGTCCTCGGGTCTCAAGGTCCTGTGTGTCACAATCGTTCTTCTCACAGACTCCCCGGACATATTTCTGGATATAACTGTCTTTCAGCTGGACGGCAAACCTTTTCGACACCAGCGCAGGGCTGACCTCGGTGAAGTTTAGGGTGTCCCCGACGGCGTCCTGGAAAACCCCTGGGCTCAACATCTTCCAACCAGCCTCCTCACACCACAATAGGGCATCTGTTATTGGTCCTCTGGACCGTAGGAACCAATTTTTCCCTTTTGTCTCCTCAAGGTGGCGGGCGGCTGAGTGCAAGGCTTTGCTGAGCAGGGCGGGCTTCAGCACATCCTTGTGGACGTGCTCATTCTTGTGGAAGGCCGTCGTCATCCACCATTATGCTGCAACCCTGGCTATACTCCTGCTCGCTATGTCGATCGGGTCCAAATACGACGATAGAGCCCATCCGAGGTCCACTTGTGCCCCCTTGAATAGGATCCCAGAATCTTTCCCAGCTGAGGCCCTGATCTCCTTGATCTGGTGTGGGCTGAACGCATGAACTTCAGCCCCGTACGTAAGTGTGGCCTTCAAGTTGGTCTGAAACAACCTGTTCCTGTGCCCTGATTTGACCTTGAGCCTGGTCATTCTACACCTTCGAGCCCCATATTTGATCCACCTCTTAGTTCGAGTTCTTCTGGTGCCCCTTCTGAGTCTATGTTGGCCTCCCGAGAAATCCACGCCTAAGTTCGTGACGTCCCCATCATCAGGAGCTCCAGCAAGGTCCCCAAGAGCCACACGTCCCAGCTTGAGGAGTGGACCCGACGACGCAGCGATGCCAAACTTGTGGTAGGCGAGCGGGAGCTGCAGATCATTTTCTAAGAACGAACGGACCGATTCAGCCAACTCTTTG